TGGCCCCAGGCCGCCAGCGTCCTCGCATCCCAGCATTGCGGGGAGCCGTCACTTTGTTCTCCAAAACCTGAATAGAGAGAAAAATACGGGGAAAACCCAAGGAGCGTGGAGAGGGTTAATCCTGCGAGCGGAGTGAAGAGCACAGCTGCTGGGTTCGGGTGCCAGGGCTGGCACCGCCCGGCTCGGGGGTCACCGTCCCCTGGCCGCCCGCTGGCACCAGCGGGCCCAGGGCAGGGGCGGCCCAGCCAAACTGCGGTGCTGCTGGGGCGAGCTGAGCCCGTTTCTTCTCTTTTCAGGTCAAACTCCAGAAATCCCTGGAGCACCTTTCAAAGGAAGTGGAGGACATGAAGAAGTGTGAGTCAGCAGAAAGGATGAAAACCCAGGAGTGCAAGGCAGGTGCCTGGCTTAATTCTTAAAGAATGGGCTTCAGAGATATCAGCAATTATGATCTTGTCTGGGGCCGTGAGTTTGGCATGGTCCTCAGGGTGGGACATGTCCCCATGTCCTGCTGTTGTATGGAGGGCCGGTGCTGGAAACCAGGCTCAGTGACTGTGTGTGGCTCTATAAACAAATTAGAGAGGTTTGCAAAGAAATGCTTTGCAAAGAGCAGCATGCCAGCTCCACCAAAACCAGGGGGGCTTGTGTGCCGGTTGAACAGACAGACAACGGATAATTTTTATTTGCTTTTTGTTTTACAACCTGTGCTCGAGTTACAAGCCAGGCGTGAGCCACACGGTGAGGTCTGTTTCACAGCAATAGGAACCAGAAGTGTTTTCATTAAAAAAAGAAGCAAAGCTGAATTACTGCACTGCTGCCCGACTCCAGGCAGTCCCGGTGAGATATGACGCCAGCAAGACAGCTGCATTTCACGTCCCTCGGGGTGGAAGCTGGAAAGTAAAAGTAACTGCAGAAAAGGAAACGAAACTGCTGGACCGAGTTGTCCAGCCCTGAGCTAGAGTTGATTATTAATCAGCTTTGGCAGGGAAAACAGGTTTCTCCGGATTCCCCTAGTTATTTGCTCAGCTCCCCTGCCTGCCTGCCGCAACCCGGCCAAGCGGGTGGCGGGTTTTTGGGGTGCCCCTGTGCGCCCACCATCCCCCTCGGGGCTGGGATGGGGCCGGGGATGGAGGTTGTGAAAGAGCCCTGTCACTCTCCCCCCGCCTGCCTGAGTCAAGGCTCCAGGGCCGCGGCTCATCTGCCTCCAGCTTCCTCCCGGCCTGGCGGCTTTTTTAGTAAAAAAGGAAAAAATGTCCTTTGTGAGCAGTTTGGGGGGGAAGTGGCTGTGACCGTCCTGGCTTGTCAAGCCTTTGTGACTCAGGTCCAAGAAATCATGTGCTTGGACAGAAAAATAAACGCAGTTCAGTTTCCTTTCACTTATCTTCTGGATTTTGAGGTTTCACCGTCCTAGCTAACTGCGGCGTGTTTTCTGGTGTTTCAGGTTTCGAGCAAAGTGCCAATTTTCAGGGCTCAGGCGAAAAACCCTAAGGCACTGGCAGACCCTGCCTGTTGCTGGCTGTAGTGAGAGCTCTCAGACACCCGGGGAGTCCTCCCTGGCTCCCCCTTTCCATCCCTCCGCAGCCCCGGGGTTTCTTCCACCTCTTTCCCATTGCTGTGGGTTTTTCCAGACATGGAGCAGTTCCTCCGGGCTGCCCGAGCAGCGGGTTAGCCTGAATCTAGCTGGAGGGATGACTTGTGCAACATTTAATAAAAACCCACCCCGACACCCGATGGCATCTCCTTGCAGCCCAGCAGCCCCCCCCAGCCCCTCCGTGCTGCACTGAGACATCACTAGACATCTGAGGTCCAGCTGAGCAGAAATGCCCGGGGCAAAGTCCTACTGCTGGTAAACTGAGGATGTTGAGTGGGAACTCAGGCGAGGTGAAAGCGCAGCAGTTAGCCTCTGGCTGTTTTTTTAAATAAACATGCTTATGAAAAAAATGCAGTGGTTTCCCAGGGCCTGATGCCGGGCGTGGATGCCAGAGAATCAGGCTCTGTCTTGGCTGCCTGGCTAACGTTGCCTCGCTTCACCCTGTGTATCCTCTTATCACAAGGAGACGGTGAAGAAAAAGCGGGAGAGGATTGTGAGCGAGTTTGGGAAGCTGCATCGGCTGCTGGCTGATGAGGAGAAGCTGTTGCTCCAGAAGCTGGAGGAGGAGGAGAAGCGGATTCTGCTGATGATCAATGAACCTGGCCAGGCTGTTGCTCCAGAAGCTGGAGGAGGAGGAGAAGCGGATTCTGCTGATGATCAATGAAAACCTGGCCCTACCTGTGGAGCAGAAGTCCTTGCTGGAGGAACTGATCCTGGAGATAAAGGAGGAGCCCCAGCAGCCGGCCGACGAGTTGCTCAAGGTCAAGCTATGGCACCGGCCCCACTAACTCAGCCCCGATGCCTTTGCCATCTGGGTGGGTGGCAGGGGCTGGGCTGGCTGGTGGGCATGAGGCTCTGGAGCCCCACACCCAGAATGTTTTTTCTCTTCTCCTTCTAGGACATGAAAAGCGTCCTGAGCAGGTAGGTACCCGTGCTCATTCCTCCTACCACCCTGGCTGCCTCCAGGCTCTAAGTGAGGTGTTCGTGTCTGCTCCACGCCTCCCTGTCCTCCCTGCCCAGCATCTGGTTTGGTCCTCCCTGGGGCTGACAAAGGAGGGACTGAGACCAGCGGGGGCTGGAGAAGAGACTCCATCCTCTTCTTCCTCGCCTGGCCTCGTGGTGTGTGAGATGCGTCCCCTCCTAAGGGGACTGCCTGGCTGGCCTTGCTCCTTCCTTCCCGGGGACTGGCATCGCCGCTCCCCGCATCATTGAGCTCTGGTCCCATCGGGCTTGCCGATAATCAAGCGGTTATCCCTAGTGCTCTTCACAGCCGAAGAGCTCAAGGGAGGAGATGCATCTGTGCAGCAAACAGAAAAGCATTAAATCCCCCCCGAGCAGGAGACTGGCCGTGCTGTGGGCTCTGGATACAGCCCACGGGCATCGCTCTCCTTTCAGGTGCGAGGGGGTAAAGTTCCAGTCCTCCAAGGCTGTGTCCGTGACCCTGAAGGAAAACTACAGCATCCCCGAGCGCTGCCTGGGCATGAGGGACATGCTGAAGAAGTTTAAAGGTAAGGGGGCTGCTTCTGTGCTAGCTCCTGGCACATTTGGGCTCCGGTCTCCCCCCCGCTCCCCATACCCTGGGGCATGGGGAAGTTTCTTCAACAAGCTTTGTCCAGCTGGTCCCAGTTTGTGTACTGATGAGTTCAGGCCGGTTTCATGGTAGGGAGACCTTCCTCGTTCTGGTCTTGGATGGGTTGTGAGGTGACCCTGAAGCCTAGGAGGTCACTCGGGAGTTTCAGGCTCCGTGTTGGCCACGAACTCTTGCTTTCAGTGTTGGCTGTTTCTGAAGCTGTGCCGGGGGCTGCGGAGCCACCCTCGTTCTTTTTCTGCTCTGCAGCCAGCTGCCAAATATTTTGATGTGGTTTATGGTTAGCATGATTATCTGTATTGCACTTCCCCACTGCCGGGCAGCGCTGGGAGCTGTGCAAAACCACGGGCACAAGCAAGTAAATGTGGGAGGTAGGAAGATCTGGAGGAGGCCTGCACCCAGGTCGCAGGTACCCGCTTGTGTCCACACCTGCAGACCCCTGAAGCCCCATCTGGCCTTCCACCTTTCTCTCACTCCAGTGGACGTGACTCTGGACCCCGAGACGGCGCACCCTGAGCTCACCCTGTCTGAGGACCGCAAGAGCGTGCGGCGCGGGAGCAAGAAGCTCCTTCTGTCCCTCTTCGACAACCCCAAGAGGTTCAGCACTGCTCCAGTGGTGCTGGGGAGTCAGGTCTTCTTCTCAGGCCGCTGCTACTGGGAGGTGCAGGTGGGAGACAAGCCGGAGTGGGGCTTGGGGCTGTGCAGGGAGTCTACCAGCCGGAAAGGCAACGTCGTCTTCTCCCCAAACAATGGCTACTGGGTGCTGCGGCTGCAAAACGGGGGCAACTATGAGGCCCTCACCTCGCCTGTCTCCCCTCTGACCCTGAGCGTGAGACCCCGGCGCATCGGGATCTTCCTGGACTATGAGGCAGGAGAAATCTCCTTTTACAACGTGAGTGACCGCTCCCACATTTACACCTTCACCGACAAGTTTTCAGGGAACGTCCGGCCTCTCTTCTTCCTGGGTGCCTTTTTGGGGGGCAGAAATGCAGAGCCCTTGGTGATCTCCTGGGTCAGGGACACGCAGGGGACCGGGTGCATCGTCCTGTGACAGTGGCTGCCCTGGCTTCTCACCGGCGGGCAGAGACCTGGGAGCCCGACCGGCTCCTCCTGTGCGTGGGGCAGCACCGCTCTGTGCCTTGGTGAGCATCATGGCAGGGTCCCCGCGTGCTCCTGGCTGCCGGGGGTGACCCGCCAAGTGTGACACCCACCGCGTGCCATGCCCGTGCTGGGAAGGGCACTTTGCAGCGGGGATGTGCCATAACCCCCTGTGCTGCCAATGGGGACAGGGGAGCCCGCTGACCACCGCTGCCCTGCCCCTCATCTCACGGGCTGCTGGAGAAGGATGCGCACCCAGCCTGCTGTGTAGTGCTGATTTTGGTGTGAGTTGTGCTGGAACAAGGCAATAAAGGGTTGATTTGGGGAGCCTTGTGTGGTTAACAGCGTGGTTTTGTGGCATGTCCATCTCCGCTCGTGAGCCCCAGCTAATCCGCAACATCTCAGAGGGCAAAGGGTGCTGCTGGACCTGGTCCTCTCCGGCCCACAGAGGGTCCCCAAGAGATCCCGCTGTGGCACCGGCGGGACCCGGCAGCAAGCCGGGCACCTGCCAGGCAGGGATTTGGGGGCGGCAGCTGCCTGTGTAGTTGGCCATGCTTCAGCCTCGCGGTGCTGGGGCCTGGGGTGAAGGCAAGGGGACATCTGTATGGGTGTGGGTGCTGCACTGCCTGGTGGCTCCTGGGCTGCTCTCTCTTGTCCCCTGGAAGGGAGATCACCTCCAGTTTGGTAGGTCCAGCCCCTCCGCCGCCCCTCACAAGCTCTGTGGGTGGGAAATCTCCAAGCGTGGGAAGCTGTGTGTTGCACCCCCCAGGGTGGGGGCACTTCGGGGGCTGCAAAACCCAGGGAAAGAAAAATAACCCAGCCTCTGCTGATGTCTCCAAAGGTCACCTTTGGTCTCTCCATCCCCCGGGACATCCCTTCTCCTCCAGGCTGTACTGCTGCCCCAGCCTCTTGCCTCAAGCAGTCTGCCATCGTGTTGCTGGAGGAAAAGCTCTCGGGTCCTTAAGCTCAGCTGTGGCATCAGCCAGTCCTACTCATCTAAACCAAAGTGGCTGTGGTCCACAGGGCCGGGAGGCAGGAGACACTGCCCCGGGGGCAGACGGGGCGGAGGTGGTGCCAGCAGCCGTGGACTGCCAGCTGGAGCGGCTGCGGAGCGTGCCCTTCAGACAAAAATAATGAAGCTGCTTAGTTTAAAGACCAGTTCAATTCAAATAAAATGAGATTCGATAAAGCATGGTCTTAGATGCTCAGCACAATTTCTCTGTCCTGAATGGTGCTTTAGGAGTCTCCTAGTGAAAAATGATGCTGGACCTGAGATAGCAGTTCCTCTCGGCTGAGTTTTGTTGGTTTTGGGGAGTTTCACCCTCCTCCCTTCAGCTGCAGGCTTTTTCTTTTGGAGGCTGCACGGCAGAGAGAAGAGACCAGCCAGAAGAGCCCAGTCCCAGCTTTGCCATGTTCCAGGAAGGAGAAGGGCAATGGGTCTCAGTGGGCTCTGCAGCTCATTTACCTCCATGGAGATCTTACAGAGGGAGTTTATGGAGCCTGAGAAGATAAGAAAGTACATGAACTTGACAGAGGGCTGGAAGCAGAGGCAGTTATGGGGGGCAGTGGTGAGGACAGCCAAGGAAACCTGTTGTGCAGGGTGACAGTTGGGAAGGGACCAAGCTAAACGTCACTGAACCAGGAGCAGGAGGAGGTGGTGGTGGGATGGGAACTGTCCAGAAAGCAAGAGCAATCTGACCATGGCAAGGTGACAGATGGGTGGCACTTGCTGCGGCGCCGGAGGGTTGAAGAGTGTTTTCAGAAGAAGCAGGAGGAAGTGCAAGAGTTTGGAGATCTTGCAAAGAGGGGGAGGAAATGAATGAGCAGAAAGGATGTGAACTCACCCTGATGCAGCATCCAAAGCGTTCCTAGAAATCATGAATCTGCCTCTCCCAGGAAGGAGAGTCAAGGTTGAAGGCATGAGATCGCTCTGCATACGCTATATAATTTTCCATCTGGGGGACTCTCTGCATCACCTGCAGCTAAGAAACTGCTCGGGGCAGGTACCATTCTGCCCTGAGATACCCAGACTGGTTCGCAATGGGCAGCTGGAGAAAAGCCAGGAGCACTGGGACCTGGCTTTTAGAGCTCCCTGCTGACTTAAAGCTAAAGCTGTTCCTAAAGCTGTTTGCAAGCAGTTTTTCTGTTTAAGTCATGACAAGTCGAGCTTGCCCCTGTCCTTGGTGGAAATGCGTTTATTGCCTGGCTCTGGCCTCCACGCAGATCCTGCCCAGCAAGGACCAGGTCCTGCTCGGGCCACCCGCCCCAGCCGCGAGGGACGGCTGCACGGCACAGCGCAGTCCGACCGCAGCAGGTGGGTCTTCCCCCCCAAGCTCCCAGCTCCCCAGCTCCAAGCAAGCTGGTGACCCTCACATGGCATCATAAGGTTATTTATTACCAAAGGGGCTGACCTGTATGCGCCAGGCTAATCACAGTCACACCATTTCCATTTGATTTCCATATGCTGAAGGAAGATGGGCATATACATAGGCATGTACATGTATTTTGCAGGGACGTTTTGGGTTGAGACAGTCTCTTGCTGTGGTGCGTCCCAGGACTGATCTGTTCAAGGTGTCTGGTGTTACTGAAGGCAGTAATCCCTCGGGATACCACGTCTGGCAGAACAGCCACGGGCTGGGGTTGGGTGATCAGGGAGCTGTTTTACTGAGCCATCAGTAGATTAACGTCACATTTTTAGGCTTTAGCTCCTGGGGCAGTTTGGCCACCCAGAGGTGCTGATTATGTCCCCTGTTAAGATTCTCTGCAGCAAAAATTACAGACCTGCAGTTTTAGAAATGTGTTTTCTCAAGAAATTTTAACATCTTTCTTTCTCTTCTAGTGGAGTGGAAAATGCTTCATCATCTTAGGGGGATGTGAGTAGTCGCCTGCGTCTTTCTAAGAACTGAGCAGAAATGTTCTTTTGGGGCTTCGGTGCCAATTCTGCCTTCTGTTGGCCATTATGGGGAAGGTGATAGCCAGGCACCATTTCTAGCATAATACTTCCGTGTCTTCCTCAGCCCTGGAAGTCTGGGATATATCGCTACTTTAGGAAAACATTACTTTTGTATGCAGCATGCAAAACCATCCACTTTTACCTGCCTTTTTTGGGTGCTGGCCCCCCAGAAGAGACACGCTCCCCCATCTTGCTGTCGGGAAGAGCCATTTCAGGTGGAGGACTGAGCCTCCCCTCCCTGCGGCGAGCCGGGGCCCTGGTACCTGGGATGGTGGGGAAGGCACAGAGTTAGCAGTTTTGAGCACAGGGGCATTTTGCCTTCAGGGTGTCTAATACCTCTCTGAAAAAGTGGAGATGTAAAAGCTGCCAGACCGTGAACCTTGATTACCATCAATCTGTATCTCCATCAGCACAGCACAGCTCCTCCTGCTGTGCAACGCCAGACTCCGACCTCCAACTCCCCTGGTTGTCGTTGTACCTCAATATGCCTACGGACACACCAGGGTGATATAAACAACAAATACATAGACATGTGCATGTATATTGTAATAATGATGTTATTCTTATCATAGTAATGATTTTATTTTTGTTCACAACTAGGCTTTCTCAGGGTTTTCGTTAAAAATATTTACTTTTATATACTTTGCACAAAATATTCAGTAAATACCGCACTCTGGTTTCGGGATGAGTCTCTCTTTTAGTAGTTTACAAATTCTGAAACCCTTGACACCATTGCTCTTGTTTTGGTCTGAATCCAGAGGAAACCCCCTGCAAGCCACCCTCCTCTTGGGTCCCAGCCTCCCCTTTCTCTTCATCTGCTGCCTCCGGCTTAGTGTCCTCTGCTTCTTGCATTCACCTGCCCTGTCTCCGGTGGGTGCTCCCTGAGCACCCCGCGAGGCTGTTTCTGGGAGGGATGAGCATCATGATTAGCCCCTGAGACCCATGCATGAGCACTGGGGCATCCCGGGGCTCCTCCGAAGGCTGCACGGTATGAGGGTTTTCTTGCATCACTCAGCTCTAGCAGCAAGGTCGGCCTCAAACAGCTGCATCAATGTATATGGCAAATATATCCCCTACCCTCCTGCTCTGGGCAGGGTGATCCCCGGGTGCAGATCTGAGCTAACGGTGACATGGGTACTGCAGCCCCTGCCTGCCTGTCCCTGCTCCGGGCCACCTTACTGCGCTTCTTCTCCTCCTCCTCCTTTGCAAAACGTGGTGGCTCTGAAGATCGCCAGGGGTGCTTTCTCCGTGCTCCCACTGCTGCTTGCAGGCCTTGGAGGCAGCTGCCAGCTCGCTGAAAGCTGCTGGCTGCCTTTGCCTTGCTCGTGCGGGCTTCGTTCACACCTCTGTGCCCGGGGGTGTGGATTAACGAGTGCGCTGTATTCCTTGCATGCACTTTGAGGGCTCCTCTGAGCTGTCACGCGTAGGTGGGTGTAAGATCAAGAAAGACATGAGCAATTCAGGACTCCCTGCAGGCTCCCAGAATAGCGGTGAGGAGTTAGCTGAGGTACCCGGGGTGGGTGTCTGCTGTGGGTGGCTTGAACGTGACCCGGGTTGCTAAGGACATTGGAGCATGAGGTTGTTTGCAAGAGGCTCAAACAGTGCGCGGGCTGGATGGTGCTCCGCGGATGACCCTGCCCTGTGGGTCCTTCGACAAGAAACCCCAAGGCTGCGGGACTGCTCCCAGTGCCACAAGGACAGATGGGGCTTGTATCCAAGAGGGACTGTGGAGGCTCAAGCCATTTTGGGGTGACCCCGTTGCAGGTCTCCCCTGTCCTGTCCCCTGCTCCTGCTCTTCCCTGGAGCGCGGACAGCTCTGGGAACTCACTTTTGTGCCAATCTCAGTCTTCAGGGTGAAGCTACCAGGCTCCGGCACTCAGATACGGGGCTGGCTGGTACCCAGTGGCCAAGGTGTCCTCACCTGCAGTGTGGCCACGATGAGCCCTGCTCCCGGAGCTGGCCCTGGGACATGCAATGCCCAGGGGGTCAGGGCTGTGACCAAAGCCACTGCCCTCACACGCAGGAGCAGCTCCTTGTCACCAAGGCACAGCCACCTTCGTGGTGATGCCCACCCGAACCACACAGCCATGGGCTCCCTCCCAGCCTCTCCTGGGGGAAGTGGGCTTGGGTCCTGCTCGCTGGCACAGCTCTCCATTTCACTCCCACTCCTCCTCGGATGCTTTTTTAAGCTGGGTGCAGTCAGTGCTGTAGCGGGATGACTGATGAGGTGCACGCCACCCCGTGGGCTGAGGAGCTGGGGGCTGCAGTTCCCAAAGTGACGAGGCTCCTGACATAACTGATACGCTCCTTCCTCCCCCAAATGCACCCATGTCCCTCTGGTCCCTTCCAGCCCCACCTGAGGCTCCTCTTTCT